TCTCTCTCTCTCTCTCTCTCTCTCTCTCTCTCATCATTGCGTAGAACGAGGAAACTAATTCCACAACGATAGAGTTATAGTTTCCATATGTTGGGAACCGTAGAAAGTCGTGCGATCCATCGTTCGCGCGGTACAAAGCGAGATCTTCGAAAGGATCAAAGGCTTGTTCCCGTATCGGAGTCGGTTGAATCGTTGCTAAGATACGTCACTGGCCTGTTTATGCTTCTCAGAAACCGGACTCTGAAAGCTCGCGTCGTGGAATCGTACCGACAAACAGGATGGACGTGCAGTCGCGGTACGAATGGACCGTACCATGAATTCCGATGAGTATAATGTACCGTTACACGCTTTGCGGGACCCTTCACCTCGATTTACTTCAGTTGGTTATTTCATAGGCGAGATCCATGTAGCACCCAAAAGTAGCTGACTCGTATATCGCTCATTCATGCCGTTCCACTTAACCATAACCGTAGTTCTTCTCACGTATATTCCTTCGATCGGTTATTCGTTTTCTACGCTGCTTCTGAATTTCCTATCGCAATTATTTCACAACGTCGTGAAACAACCAATTCTGAAATTCAAATATCTCATTTGAAATACGTACATATATATATATATATATATATATATATATATACAATTCTCCTACGCAAAGTTCATTGTCGATTGACGATTTTTCTTAAATACAACGGAGGAATAAATCGAATACGAGTCACGAATTCGCAAATCTATTCTGTGCCAGTGCCGTACGGGGGAGGGGGGAGTGATAAATCAAGAAACGCCGGAATGTGAAGAACGAACAATTCTTTCATATCACATGTCATCTCTTGTATTTATAGCTGTAATATGCAAGTATATATTTATAATTTATTACTAAATTACGATGAGTCATGTAAATGAATTTTCCCTTCAACCGTACACACCTTTGTATCCTTTGTATCCATCTGTTAAAAACAAGGGAACAATTTCGAATCGGCGTACGACTCGTTTAAATACCTTCGAAACAGATATAAATACACACATTTCAAATCTATTTTCAGCGACTAACGGTACTAAAGACAGCCAGTTAAAACCCGGAAGAAATAACCAAATATATATGATTCATGAAAACATCCATCGGTAAAATAGTCGAAACAAAAGTATTTGAATTGTTCCCTCCCTGCTTTGAAAACGCGCATGAAGTACTTGATGAAACGCACATGCACGACGCACATGCGCGCCGAGTTTTATCTCAACTTTCCATTGATTTTTTTCTTACGTGCTAGAATCAAATTATAATCTTCTGTTATATCACGATAAATACTGAATGGTTTAAATTTTGAAATACGATGATACAATTGAAGTCCGAATGGAATCACAGATGTTGGCAACATTTACGAGTTGGCAACACTGTTTATTGCTAGGCAACTTCAACTTCCTGTTTCAACGGGATCGTCGCCATGTTAGTGGATTGGCTATTGTGCGTGCGCGTCCGTTCTAACGTTTGATACTTGTACATACGAAACTATACAAGATTTTACAAATAGAAAAGAACACAGAATTCAACAACGTGTTACTGTGATTTATATTCTTTCAATTATTGTAGGAGAGAGGAAGTGTAGAGTCGTCAGTCGACGTCGAATATCGTGCAAATTTTTGCTTTTTGCACATTATCAAGATGATGTACACGGTAAATCAAATTTTGGTTTATAAAAAAAATCATGTCTCGGGCTATTTTCAATTATGATTTTTCGATATCTTCTAACTATCAATTGGTGAATTACAGGGGACTACCGCGTCACAGGACACGAGGTTCAGTGATAAGGAGAAGAAACTTCTTAAACAAATGAAGTTTGGAGATTCTCTAACGCAGAAAGTAAGTATTCAAAGTCCGATATTTGTTAGTTGACTCTAGCTTTCATGCTCGTTACAAAATATACTTCATTCTCAGGTTGATATGAGCAAAGTCAAGCTGGATGTTATTAAACCATGGATAACTACAAAGATTACTCAGATTTTAGGGATGGAAGATGATGTAGTGGTAGAATTTGTGTATAATCAACTGGAAGAAAAGGTAAGAAGTTTGTTACACTAAATCAATCTAAACATAATTAGATTTAAGAGATTGTGAATTATTAATATAGAATATGAAACGCGTTCATTTGGCTTTTTCCCCTCATCATAGGAAATCGATAAATACACATTATTTCAGCACAATGTTTTGTACCAGTTACAAATACTATCATCCAAAATCTGCACAATGTGCTGACTTTGGAGATGAAAAGCAAGGAGGCAGAAACCACAAATAGTCATATTTGCCTCATTGTTTTTTCTTTTTTTTTTTTCTTAAATTTTGAGAATATATCATCGTACCTCTACATCCTGTGTATCCTATTTTTATTGATCTTAAGTATCCACTCCAAGCTATATCCTATATCAACGAAAAAACTGATGTAGCTGATCCTGCAACATTGTAACATTTAAAATGAATGTTTTATCATATATGTTTGAATTCCCCGTTAGTATAAGTAGAGACCGTTGGTGGGGCTCAACCCTATTGTCCAAATGGCATTCGGATGTGCTCCTCTCTGCATCCGATTGGCCGCCTTTCTATCAGCCGTCAACGCACGCTAGCTGATGCCAGCTGGTATGTCAACGTCATCTTAGAACACTGCTGAAACTTCAGCGTCAGCAGTTCATCCAGCTTCGACTCACCGTCACCAGAGGAACCGGCATATTCGCAATAATCTCGTCGCATCGTCCTGTTCCTGCTCTTCTCATCTTTGTGTACGGAGCTTCTGCCCGCCTTCTACCATTCTACAGTTGTCTTCGTTGCTGCAACTGCGTCATCTACTGTCTACTGCGTTGATCATCATTTTC